TACTGTACTGCAGGTGTGAGAAATTATTCCATTTAGCACAAATTAAACTTTATAATTGACAAAAATACTGTTTTTCACTAGCAAGTATTTACACACAGCTTGGAGCCAAAATGCACATTTGAAAATGATCAAATAACCTTCTAATAAAGGTTTACTATCAAGCTGAAAACACAGCCAGATCCAAGCATTTTATAATAAAGATTAAAACCAAAACTGCTATCAAACTGCTATTGAACTGCTGTCATAACTGTTGTCCAATTATCAAATTGACAACAGTTTAGAAGGTAGATCCAGACTGCTAAGATGAATGCTAAAAGATGAATGCTAAGAGGAATGCTAAGAAATGGTGAAATAAGGCAGTTTCTAAAACTGCTATTAGATGGAATGCTATGAACAGCTGAAAGACTGCTAAACATATGAAGAACTGGTAAATAACAGCTAATAAACTGCTAATGATAGCAATTCAGTTTGATTTGGGAGCTATGATGTAACTCTCACAACATTGAGCGCAAAATTCGACCCATTCCCGTTTCTCTGACTATGGATTAAAAACGTCTTGTATTTGACTACCTGTAGGGTTCTACCAAAGGTAGTACCCTACACCCCGTTAAAAATATGTCAAATTCCAAAATTTCAACAAAAGATTTTTAAAAAATGAAAAAAACATTGCTTTCACGTTACATTTTGTGGTTGAATTTCTCTAAAAATCGCAAGATTTGGACTAAGACCGGGGATCAATTTATTATCTACGTTCATATCCGTAGATAACTTATAATAGCCACGGTTCGATCGATTTTCCAGTGGGGCTTAAATGTCCGTTCCCGTTTTTCACGATCGCATTTTTGGTCTTTAGTGAGATCTTCATTTGATTTCTTTTGAAGACGTTGATCATGAAGACACAGGCACTTGTTTCTATCCATGGGAAGGTTGAATATCCTTCTATATTTATGGATAGTCGACCTTCCCATGAATAAACAAGTGCCTGTGGTTAAAGACCGTCCATGATCTTCGGGCTTTCTCTTGGAAGACGGGACACCAAAGTGAAACGGACTCATTTTGTTCGAAAATGTCTAAATGATTAAATGATTTGTCACGTGACTTCTCGCAACAATTTATAACCTTGTGTTTCCAAGAAATACAAGGTTGAAAATAACTTTTATCACTCGTCGGCAAGGTCAGGGATGACACATTTTTTTTTCTCAATTTCAATAATAATATGGCTTAAAAATGACGATACAGATGGTTAAAAAGGTCAACAAAGATCATTTTTATTTCCTTTAAAATCGAAGGTCCGTCGGGCGTAGCTAGTAACCAAAACGAAAGTCCGATTGCAACAGTAGAAGGTCACGGACCTCGGACCACCGCCAATTTGAACCCCTGCGGGCAGCTTCTCCTTTC